CACACTGCCTGATTTGTTCTCATCAGGTAGAACAAACCAATAGGATCAGTTTCATCGGTGTTTTATTCAGAGCATGACGAACATGGGGCACTCGCAGGGGAATAGAGAAACCAGTGGGATTGCAAACAAAAATGTGGAAGTAGAATTAAACCAATAGAACCTGGAAACTGTGGAATGTGGTTCAAGGGCCGAGCATGAATGAGGTATTATTAGTAAGTGGCCACTCTAGGCCACCTAGGCCTCAAAGCAAGTGCTCGGTGAATCAGACAATTATGCAAACATTTTGCAGCCAAAAGAGGGTATTCAACTTCCAGATCAAAAGATCGCTGATCTTTACTCACAACAACAGTAAATGTGTGTCTACATCGGTGCAAAGAGTGAACCATGTGCTGCAAAGAATAGGCACCGTTGAAACTGAGCGGGGTCGATTTGAGTTTGAGCGTGTTTTCACTCTCACTATTCTGATTTTAACAAGGGCACTACTGGTGGGATGCGTACTCTACCATGTTGTTGTCACATCAGTCCCGCCAACCATGAGTCTGAGAAGGGCGCACTCGAAACTAGTAGATCGTGGGCTTTGAGGCAGCCGCTGTGCAGAACATCGTGGTGTCTGAGTACTATATCATATATAGTGTATATATCATATCATATCATATCATATCATATCATATCGTATCATATCATATATATATCATATAATATAATATGTCGTATTGTGTATTATGTTATACTGTTATCTGTTGTGGGGTTTGCAGGAGATGTATTGTTCATATTCACGTCACTTTCGTTTAAACAACCGTTCTCCTGTCCTGGCGTAATTATTCTGGCGGGTCCACACCAAAGGTGGAGAAGCACAGGACTCGAATTTCGCTCTTATTGCACTCATCTTATGCACTCATCAACAGTGCATATCCAATGGCCGTTCGGGGGTTTGAACTCCAGGCACCTGACATTCGAGGTAAGCGTATCACCACCACTTCACCAGCGCACGTTGAATGCACCTGAATTTTCACATTTGAACAGGCGAGCGATGTGATTGGTGTACCCGAAAGGACTGTCCTGGTTTTGATGATCAATTGACCCCCCAGTCAGGAATTTCCAGGACAGGATGACGATTGTCCGAACGAGAGTGGTGTTAATATGAACAATGCATATTCTGCATACCCAACGACGTATATCAAAAAAGTTGTTTAGCGGTATCCAAGCGCCTGTGGCGCTACTTGACTGGGTCATCGTTTCGCTGACGTGTTGGGCACGCGAGTCACATCGCTCAGGCGTGAACACATTCGCCCGTCGGCTTCTACAAACTGTTAAGCACGCGGTCTCGATCAGTCATGTTTTGTCTGCCTGGCATAACCTATACATGAAAAAACAACCCAACTTCACCCTGTGCAGAAAAATTTAACATCTATTCGCATAGCACGGCGAGAGTGAAAGTGAACACATACGAGGGTTGCTGAAAAAAACAACACAGGGTTGACGAATACTGGCGAAACTCCAACAAGAGAAACCTGTCTTGAACTGTTAAAGTTTCTAGCGACCTGCCTAACGTTTTATTGCAATATCTAGAATATCATACCAGATCAAACTTGAACACATCTGGTAGAAAAATTGCGTAAACAAGAGATTCAACTGGATCCGGTTGGGTTTTCGTTAGAACCAAACTGGTATGCAATTGACGATGTTGGGTGCAGGCTAAACGTTAAGTTGATGAAACTTCAGGGATGGTGATCACGTGATTAACTGAAAGATTGGTAAAACCGGATAGGTCTACAAGGGAGCTATGCTCATCCAGACTGGTTGCTTCAGTATCACGAACAGACCAACTGCCATCTCATCAGAAGCGAACTTTGACAGCCAAACAGCGACCGGAGATAGCATATGCGCTGCGCATCTATTCATAGGGAATATCAGAAACGAGGGATGCACTCTGCCTTGATTGAGATCCCCCGTTTACGAAAACAAGCCAGACACTCGTTCAGACATCCGCAAAATTACTTCAAAGGAGGAGCTAACAGATTGCTATTATCGATTTTTCATAAGTCGACTTAGAGAGAGAGACAGGAAATTACGGTTTTGATTCGATTTGTGACAATACGTATCACTGATTCTTGATTGCATTTTGTTGAGCTTTATCCATTTCCAACGTACAGACGGAAATATGGCAGGTTTCATTCTGTGTGATGGAGATCGCCGATAGTCAGCGCCAAAAATGACTCATATTAGAGAAAGGTTTAAAATGATTTGAATTTATGGAGTGGATTGATTTGTAGCAAGAAGCATCTGAGGGTACAGAGGATGAGAAGGACAAAGGAAAGCAATAATATGGATAAGAAAATAATACAGAGTTGACTGGATTTGTAGAATGACACAGGCAATGAATGCCACTCTTTCAAAGTGACTTTTTCCATTCAGTCTGCTCTACAAACCATGCTAGGTTGAAGGCTGTTCGAGAATAGATAAAGCAGCCGGACAATGATCGTACGCTACTGTCCAGTTTTTGTGTCATTCAAAACGATTTCTTCTAGAGTGCTGTAGTTCCTTCATCTGAGGGACTTCTAAACAAGTCCTGTCCTTCGAATACTACCGCATTTATTCATATGGTAAAGCAAAATGTGGGGTATTTCGCCCTCTAATACAATCTTTTTTTGTTTTATCTAAAGTACTACTAGCGATTGTGTGTGATCTCGGTTACGTTTTTAACTGATTTATATTGGAAGCATGGAGATGATGGCGAAACTTATGTCGCTTGCCGATGAATAGTTAAAATAGTAATCGGAAAATACAATAAATGAAAGAATAAACTACTTCTAGGCCGATTCGTACCAAATGTGAAACGCTTCAAGTCCCACCATTTTATGATAGAAAAGACCGATCATTTGGAACATAAGTACACTGCGGTGTGGTTTGGAGGTCTAACAGCGTGTTCGGTGTAGACAGAGGCAAACAGTGTAAATTTCTACCGACAGCTTTAGGTGGAGTGGGCAAGCCAAAATTAGGAAACAAACATGGAGATATACATGCGGATACAGCGATAGTATCACACAATATTTGTCATATCTGACCATCCCACCCAACTTGCGGCAAGACAGGGCGAACTCATATGGTGTTGTTGTAGACTGCGACAGACGCAACCCGAGTTGGATCAACCAGCCGGTTTACACAAAAGACTGTAGGTTAACAGGCAATCGTTCTCAGGCTTGAGGGGAATGAGGAGGTACTTGAGTTGGTTGGGGTTGGTGAAGTGCCCAACCAAGTATGGTTTCGCATTCTTGTCACCAACATGTGTATGACACCAGCGCTGAGTTCCCGATATGCGTCCTCACCTGAACAGCGTAGTAAAATGTGAATGCGTCGAGTGATGGGAATGCAACTTAGACATTTAAGATAAACCTGTTTGAACGGCAATTGAGGCTGTTCAAGATTGCTGGACACACTTCCGAGTCCAAATCGTTCTTCCGTAAAATGATCAGTAACATTCTCTCATTTTCTAGTTACTGCTACAACACATGGAGTGGATGAGCAACCTGACGGCAAGACTTGCGGTGGTCTGGATAGGTATGATCAGGTGAAGTTATCACAGTGTCATAATTACGAAACACTGGTTGTCTGGACTGACAACGACGCAGCAGGCGTCCAGTGAAGGAATATATATATATATATATATATATATATGTATATATATCAAA